AAGTTTAAATGATGTAAAAATCTGAAATTGTATATTTATTCTTTATAAATATCATGAAAATGGACCAAGATGACAAAATTGCAGAAACAAGTGATCAATGATGATTGAATTTTAAATAGCAATTATTTATAATAAAACTAAAATAATTGTGCTTAAGAAAAGTTTAGAATTCTTGGTCAGTAAAACATGAACTCCATTGACATGCTATATCCAGTATTGCATTCTGTACATATAATTTAGATATGTTTTTATTCATTTGATATCTATTGGTTTTTTAAAATAAAATTTATTTTTTCTGACCACTGCACATGTTCTACTTACAATTCAATTAACCAAAGGGGGTGAATAAGCTAATATAATAATCTTCTCTTCATCAGAACAAACACACAGTGTGGTAAAAGAGACTGCCTGGGTATTATTGTCAATTAATTTTTCATTTATCCAGTAAATGTTCATGTGAAATTGATAGAGATAATAACTGTGAGCAAAAAATTGAGTTCCCTAATCTCACATCCCTTATCTAGTATGAATAATTACCCAAGCATAAAATTGCAACCATGAACAGTGCTATGTAGTATATTAGTGCCATAGTAACCCATAGTAAAGAGATTAGGGAAGGCTTTCCTAAGTCAGTCTTCCTTGACCCAAGACCCAAAAGATGGCACAGAGTTACCTGGTGAAGAATATTCTAAACTCAGAGAATAACATACAAAAATATTGTGTAAATACAAAGAAATAGACTGTGCTAGTGGAATAAGCTCAGTGTGGTTAGACCAATTGAAATCATGAAAGTCTTGTAGATGACATTAAGGATTTTTATCTTTATTCTAAAAATAATGGGGAAACACAAAAAATCTTTAAGCAATTGGGAGATGTGATCAGTTGTGCATTTCAAAAATGTTACTCAGGCTGTAGTGTCAAAAATGAACTGGAATGGAGCCATACTGAGGAGGTAGACAGGACATTTGAGATACTACCCCTCGGTCCGGGTGAAAAACAATGGCAGTTTTTGCTTGATGGTGGTAGGTGGAAGAGAAATATTTGAGAGTTATGCAGAAGACAAAATTAGTAGGATTTGGTAATAGCTTAAAGAAGTGGCTCAGGGGGGTGGGCACAAGGATCACTATTGATAATTACATGTTTTATATGAGATTAACTTTGAGAGGATCTCATTGGTATGAGAGTGGATGGAAGGAGCAATTTTCTAAGTTTTGTTTTATTGGTGTGTTTTTAAGAGGACCAGGAGGAAATATAAAATAGAATAGTAAATGTATGATCTGAAGTCTAAGGAGATATCCAAACCAGAGATAAATGTTCAATATTTTTTGATTTGTAAAAAAGATAATCATTGGTGAATAAAAAGATATTAAAACCATGGATATAAAATAGATCTTCTAATGAAAGAATATAGCGATAGAACAAAAAGGATCTAAGTTAATGTGTTCAAAACCCCATCATTTATTGCTCTGTGGAAAAAAAAATGAGTAAGCAAAGAAAAGGAAAAAATAAGAATGGAAACAATATTTATTAAAAATACTATTTTATTTTATTCAATTTTATTTTAATTATTATTTCATAATAATAAATAGTCATTGATATTGAGTGTTGTTGGGATACTAAATAAAATTAATGTTAAAAATGGCCATTGGGTTTATTTATATGGACGCCATTTGTAAATGATGAGGTGTAGGTTGAGAGTTAGATGGGAGATAAGGAACTAATCATTGTTCTAAATGCTTTACGAATGTCAGTCTAATGGAATGCCCACAATAATTCTGTGAGGTAGACTCCTCTATTTTACTAATAAGAACTGAAGCAAAGAGAGGTTATGTAACGTGTTTACTATCACACAGTTCCACAGTGGAAGTGGAATTTGAACCCATGCAGTATGACTTCAAAGTTCACTTTTTAAGAATTATTCTGATACAATCTATGAAGATAGAGAATTTAAACAACTCTTTTAAGAAATTTTGTCATGAAAAGAGGATGAGAGATTTGCAACTTGAGGGAAATGAAGAATGAACAGCATTTTTAAAGCAGAAATAATTATTTCTGGTCAAAAGAAAGAACATGGCAAAATATAAGAAAAATCTAAAGTTAAATGGCTAAATATATTTGGTTGACTACTTCTTTGTGTGATTAGTTATGCCTAGAATTAATCATAATTTGTAATTTTCAATTGAAATTGAAAAAATCTACTAAACTCAGCTTGTCACCACACATAAAATCTTAGTGTCTTTATTTAGTGGATTTTTATTGCACATGAAGAAAATTTAATTAATCATGTAATATAGCCCAGAAGATACATTTGTGAAAGAAAAAAATAAGAACTTAAGGAAATAGCAAGAAAATATTAAACTCTTAATTCTCCTTCTATAGTAAATTTATATTAGCTGTGTTTATATTTATGGCATCATAAATACCTGAATTTTTATAAATTCCTCTTCTAGGCCTTTGATGATATTTTTTTCAAGCTTTCCCCAGAAGTTAAATCCAAGTGGCTCTAAACCAGGTGTTCTTTCTAGCCATGCCTTAAGTAAATATTATTTTTTAGGTTAATACACAGTAAAATTTAAAATAATTAAAATACATTGTAACTATCATTTATAAAATTAAAACAAGAAATATTCATAATTAGAAAAAAACATGCCACAAGTTTATTTGTAAATATTTTCCTTGCTCTCCAATTTCTTCTCTTAGGAAAGAGCATTTAATATATTTCATTTTCTTAATCATTAAGGCAATCATCATTAATAATATCTACTCTTTTTTTTAAAGAAATACCTTATTACAAAAGTCCCAATATTCTGCTAGAAATCCATGAACATATCTAAACATTGTTTGAATGATATATTCTGGTTTATATAAAAAAGCAGTTTATGTTTTAGGAACTGAAGAAAGCATAAGATATGATCTCTTTTCATTTCAGGACTATAGTATACTTAGCAACTTTAAAAAAACATCCAATCATTTTTATATTTCACAAGACTTTGTAATCTAAAAGTAAAAATGAATTTTGCACAGCTATGAGTTATCATTTAAGCTACATTTAATTTTGAAAATAGCTTTGTGATTTAATTTCTCCTCATCTTTATAAGCCATTATATCATAATATATAGAAATGTAGTAATCAAGACATATTTATAACATCCAGGGGATTAATAAGGAGAGTATAATTCACTAAGAGAAAAGTTTAATTTGCAAAGTAAAAGGCTTTGTGAAAGAATTCAAAGTAGTACAATTCTTATTTAGTAATTTACTTATGAAGAATCAAATTAATAATTTATGAAGACTAGGTATAGATATCCCTAGGGAATTTGGATATGAAGGGAAAAAATCTGAAGAGTATGTTCTTGGTAATTAAACTTAATTAAGAAATGGAAATTTTCTATTACATTATATTTTAGAATAAAATTTATTGAACAATTCTTCATACCCAGTCTAAAAATCAGCTGATTAAAAGTTGCTCAGCAAGGATGTTTAAAGGTATTGTTTGAATAACATGAGGTTATTAAATATTAACATACATACACTTGATTTTAAAAATTTCTGGATTTCCCAAAAAGGTATTGATATTTTCAAAATTATAATAAATTGAATTTAGAAGTTTAGCATTTTGGAAAATTTTATTCTTTCCTTATATACCACAATTATATCCCTATTTGATATGAGTTTTAAAATTCGGATGTGGCAGACACTAAATCAATTAGATGCATTGAATTGAACTTTACAAGCAGTATATGAGCCTGTACCTCCACAAGCTTCAGAAGTGTTTTCTCCTGTTCAGACTTTAGCAGCAGTTCATTGTCTTCTCCTTTGAAGTTATCACGGTAATGTCTTCTATTGTAAGGGACTCTCATACTCTGAAGAACACCAATCTTGTTTTCTAATAGTCGGAACTGGAAACTCTGGAAGCCTGATGCTGGAGATAAGTACTCTCTGAGAATAAATGCAGAAGGAAAATGGGTTAGCAGTATAAATCACTGCAATGGTTTCTTCTGTTGTGAGGGACTGTCAGCGTAATACCAAGAGCAGACACATGAACCACCTGGAATTGTACCTATGATTGGGCCATTATTGAAATAAGGAAAATGAGCTGTCAATCAATTTGAAGTCAGCTTGTAGATTTGTGAAATATCAGATATATTTCACTATGTATAATATATAGTTTGGAATACATGATACTATATATTATATAAATTTACATAAATATATTGAATACTGTATACACATGTATCTATATATATGTATGTTTACATGTGCATATATGTCTGTGTGTGTATGTACATATATACTAGTAATTGTGTGTGTGCATATAAGTGTTTGCTAATTTTTTCCAAGATAAAGATAGGTAAGCCATAGGCAACTGTTTTATTCTACAATGTTAAAAGATGTTTTACAAGTATTATTTAATCCTTTCTATGAGTTATATTATTGGATATTATCATTCATCTTGTTTTCTAGTACTATTGTAAGCATCAGTGTGATAATGGACATTAAAGAAATAAGATACAGCCTAGTACAAAATAGGTAATATAAAAATGTGACTACTAACTCCCTAAAAATCACCCCCAAACTCTTATATCCTTATAAATGTCCTTCACCTAAATGATGTTGAAAATAAAATTTTTAATCTATCACAAAGAATTCTACCACTGCTCCTTTGATTGTCAAAAATATTTGGGACATTGCACATTACAAGATATAATGCACTCAAAGTAAATTTCTGGAGAAAAATTTTCTAATTTTGGCGAGAAAAAGCATACATATATGCATTCACACAGCTATAATTGCCTGAAATTTTTGAGCTAAAATTTGTGGCTCAATACATAAGTTATGACACTTTGATTGACATGTTTTTATATATATCACTACTGTTTCTTGTATTTTCAGATTTTGATTTTTAAATTAATTATACATATTTTGTTAACTATTTTAGCCAATTATTAAATCATCTAAGATGCTTTTTGGAAAAAAAATATGGCACACAATGATAAATTGAAACCAATTGATCATATTATTTTCACAAGTAAAAAATGAGTCATAAAATATTTTAATAATTTTTCAAATGCTTTGTGATTCAAGATCTCAAAATCCTTAAAGTGTCAGCAGAACAGGTTCCTCATGTCACATAAACCCCACTATGTTGTTTTCTGAATCCCACGGGTGCAGACCTGAAGTCATTGAAGTCCAAGGCTGTCATTGTTTCCAGGACAGAAAACTGCTGCACCAGGAGCTTGAGGATGACCACCACTCGGTGCATCCGGGTCACAACCTTGAGCATGTTCCTTTCATCCCTGACCTGGAGGTGAAGATATAAAACTGTGAGAAGATGCAGAGTAGAGTTAAATGACGATGCATCCTATTGATTTTATGTAGATATTAAAGATGAACGTTAGCACTAAAATGTGCCAAAATATATGTTGAACTAATAGAAATTCTGCAAGATCAGAATTTTCTTTTTATTTCTTTAGAATAAACAGAAAATACATGGAAGTAAAGTAGAAATAAATTTTGGAATACGACTCCCACTGATTCCCAAACAAGTTTCTCTTTTATTTTTGCTTCAAAGAAAAAAAAAGCGTGACACGGGGACTTCCAGGAAAGGATTAAGCAACATGTGAATAAATCTGCTCTTCAGAGAAAGCAGAAGTTGCCAAGATAAAACTGGGAATGGCACTCATATCCGTGAGAGGGTGCTGTCTGGTATGTGTGCAGTCTTTCCTGTGGATGGGCATTATCTGGAAAGGGCTTGAGAACATGGGAAACTGTGCTTGGAATGTCCGCCTTCCCCTGAAGCACTGCCCTGCCAGCCTCTCACTCTTTTTGTCCTCTTTGTCATTTTCTTCCCCATTACCCTTCCTCCTCTTCTTCCCTTTACTTTCTTCCTGCTCTTCCTCAGCTTCCTGCTCCTCTGTCTTTTCCACTTTCCTCATTATTGCTCCTACCTTCCCACAGCTGCTATGCATTAGAATACAAACCCAC